GGACTGCTACTGCACTCATTAATATCTGAAATAGAATAATTTAACATTAGTATGTACTTGCAAAGCTATTAATATGCAGCAGCTCAGTCGGCTAAACTGGTGGTAGCTGAACCGCCATGATCTCTTGCCTCTTGGTCCCCGGTTCAATTCCAATCGCTGCTCTCCTTGGATTTCAACTAGAGGGCTGAAATGCAAGTTACGATAGCGCACCTTCTTTCAGATGGGACGAATTAGCTGTTGGTCCCGTGGGCAATATGGCTTATGTGCACGTTAAAGAAAACAGTACACTCTGGAAATAATTCTCAAAACTTTTGAGGGTTATCCTTGGTAAATCACACCAAAGAAATCCAATCCAATGTGATAGTCCATTATCACTACAGTACGACTTACCTATGTTGCAGTTTATTCCGATCCAGCCAGGAGTACAGGTGCAGCTATACATAGCAAGGCCATCCACACAGCCAGCTCCATTTTGACAAGGACTTGACAAACATTCATTTATATCTGGAAAAAAGTGCAAGAAAATAGCCATATCTCTATGAATTTTTTTTGGGGGGGGGGGAAATTACCAATTAATGGCTATAGATTTTTTTTTCTATTTTTTTCTTCTTTCGGCAGTACAAACATTAGCCTAACCATTCAAAATGAAAGAGGAGGACTCCGGAGAAACAAAAGTGATTAAAAACTACTTTTGTCAAAGGGCGTGCCTCTCTAACTTCACACAAAATACAAACACATTGATAACTTAAACCTAAAATTGGACCTAACAAATACTTTACTTGCCAATCAATGTTTCCCTAATATTGAAACTTGACCATTTGACTGAGCAATATGTTCAAATTGGATTTGAATAAAAAGTTACCCCCACCCCTCGATATTAATGGTCAATATATTAATTGTATTGAAAATAATTAATAATTTAATCAACTTTTTTTATAATAATCCAATATGATTTTGTATCTATTTTTAATGTTATTGTAGGTATTAGTTTAATTAAATAATAATTCAATAATTGTCTGTCTTGTAATTATATATACTATTTATGTATCGTTTTAACAGGCAATTTCCCACACATCTCTTTTCTGTTCGATGTGACATTGATTTGTTGAAGGTGGGATGTAGAGGTGCTTGGCACCTGTTAATTTCTTTATTTTTGCTGCTTTTTCTATTGCTATTTTGTAACTTATGCTTCTTGTATGTTCAGTGATGAAGCTTAATTTTTTTTTTTAAAGTGTGGACATATAAAGGATTAAATATTTTGTGCATAAAACATACTTGTTTCACAATTGTCGCCTTCATAGCCAGGGGCACACTGACAGGAATAAGAAAATTCAGCATCATTACAGATGGCGCCATTCAAGCAGGGAGCACTCAAACAATCATCAAGATCTAAGAAAGAGAAAAAGGATTTTTTTCTTCTTCACAAAATTATTTCTTTTTTGCATTCAGTAATACAGACATTACAGTGATCAGAAAAAGTAAAAAAATTAAAAAAAATATAAAAAATAGCCCTAAAAATTAATAGATATTACAATACAATACAAAACAATTATTCTAAAGAAAAAAAAAATTCATAAAAATTTGAAAAAAAACAAACTATGCCAGTGAGATTCCACTGTAATACGATATTGCAAAAAAGTTGTTGCATAAAATGAAATGCGATTCATGTACAATACAATAAAATTAAAACTTTTAAATTGGCATTTCTAGTGATTATATTTTATATTAAAATAGACATTCTCATCAAAACAACAGCTCTTTCCAGAACTATCCTTGTGGTGTACCTCAAATACAAGTACTTTCAACAATAATAATTTAAATATTTTTTTTTTAAATAAGTTCTTTATTATTAATAAATTGGAGAATATTTTGTATAGCACCTGTTAGAAAAAAAAAAAATTCCCAATCTATTCATAACACTGTAAAAATTTTAAGATAAGTCCAAAATCAAGCGTATTCATTTATTGAATTTTAACAAGTCCTTGATGTACAGCAGGTACCATATTTTCATTAGTTCACAAAATGGAACACGCCCAGATCCATGGGCTGGCTGTGAGTTCGGTCAGTTTTTTCTTCTTGAAAACCTTTAAAAGAGTGTAAAAATATAACGGAAGAAAGTTTTATCCAAAGAGATTATTTTTAATATATATAAAACTGATCACAATAATGACATTGTAAATACCATAAACGACTCCTCACAAACCGGCTCAAATCCCACTGAAAAACAAGCTAATATCACTTATATTCTTGTAATTCAACCCAAAAATGATGGAGCTAAATATTTGAAAGCAAATATTTTGTAAATTGTTTTACAATACCTATACTTTTATAACCTTCTATAAACCATTTCAACCTAAGTTATACGACCTCTAGTTTTTTAGTTACTGTTTTTGCAGTAAAATCAGTCAATGTTTTTTGGGAAAATGGTAATGGTTAAAGAGATACCGTGATTTTCACAGCGGTGCGTTTGCAGTTAAGTGGATCAAACAAATTGATATGATATTCATACAACAATAATTTTTGCTGAAGTTCATCTTTTGAATAAATTGTACCATAATCAAATTAAACATTTCTCATACTCTACATACTACAGGTAGCTTGCTTCAAAAAGAAAAGGATGACACAGTTAGCAACAATAACAGGTGGATCCACAAGTGCTATTGCTTTTGTCATTAGCTAATTACTAATTTATCATAAAAATGAGTTTATATTTCTCCATGGTTACACTGCAGTTGGCGGATTCAAGAAGGCAGGGGGAAGCTTTCCCCCTGCAATTCTTTCAACATTGAAAAAAATTGAGAAAAAAAAAGAAAATTATATTCAAATGTTTGTCTATGAGTGCCATTTTCGGCAATATAGAGGTACTGCATCATAAATTTCTTACTCTTCCCCAACCATTTGGGCCTGAGGTGGTAAGACCCTCTATTTGTGAAGGTACCTCCCAGGGCCCCCTCTATTTACAATTACTGGATCCGCCACTGTACTGAGTTAGTCATCAGCTATATACTTTGTTGTATCATGAAGGAATACAGCTTTATTTATAATATAACATGGTTTTATCATGGAGTTATTTCTTTCATGGTTTCTATTATCTAATTTCCCCATCCTGAAATATTAATAATGTGTTGAAATTGTTGATTAAAAAAAAAAACTTCCAAAATTAAATAAACTACTGTAGTTCTTGTGTCCACATATGAGGGAATAGCAGATGTAGCACGATGCAGATTCCCAAATAAAGTGACTTGGTTTTTTGTTTTTTTTTTTGGTCTCTCTCTAAATGGTGGTAGGAAATGGCTTCAAATTAACGTATTTCCCTCAGAAGAGAGATGGTTGTTGTATGTTGTGTACATTTGTGTCAAAGTTTGATATATCAAGTGCTTTAAAATTTCTGTTAATTTCATACAAAAATATGATATTATATCAATCTAAAATAAAATGCATTTTCAGAAGATTTTCAACATTATAGCTATAAAATAATAAAACTGTCATTTAATTGAATTCATTTTTTTTTTATTGCTACAAGCGCCAACTTGGGCTAATAATATCTGCAGAAAGAAAGCATACTCAATAAACTTGGTGCATGGTGTTTACTTAAAATAAATTAATATATTCTATAATCATACATACCTGCTCGATAGCTTAATGTCCAACCACTACGTGGATTATTAAAATCTGCAGAAAATAAAATCCATGCAGAGTCGTCCGTAATAGTGTATGTGAACGGTAACGTAAATGGCGCTTCACTTGTTACGGCCGTATTACCCGAGTACTGTGCAATGGCAACATTGAAGTCTGCTGTACCACCAGCTCCGTATTCATAAAAGTCTTTGTCTTTTTCGGTGTTAAACTGTTCTATCGTAAATACGATCCTTTGGGCTTTAGAGACCCGGATAAGATAGATGCAAGTGCTCCGGTCTCCGTAATCAGCAGGGTAGTTTGGTGAAGATATTTGGCCTGTTGCTGCATAGTGATTTGTGCCACAATTTTGTCCTTGGAATAAAAAAAAAACAATGTAAAGTGAATAAATTACAGTGGGTAAGTGATTTTGGAAATTCTATTGCAATTTTGACTCTGACTGATACTTTATCGGCCATTTTATTTATTTACTATTTCTTGAGTGGGTCGTTTCCAGGTGTTGTTGTCAGGGAATGGGTCGGCATGGTGATCATGTGAATTATGTTTCCGTGGGGATCAGTCGGCTGGCCATCAAAGAGTTAGAATGGCACACTGATTCTACCCTGATGGCATTTGGTCTCGCACCCACTTTGTTTGCTTGCTTCACTTATTTATTTTTTTTTTGTATTATATTATGCACCTTATATATCCACTGATTGATTGATACAAGCCCTTGGGCCTAGGCCCAGCTAGGGTCATAGAGTAGCAACTAGGGCTAGGCCCTAGCATACTGTAGAGTGACCTGGTCGCCTAGTAGTAGGGCATGCAGAGCCAGGCCCTGTCCTGGTACCTGGTAGAGTAGTACTAGAGTAGTAGGCCTGGCCATTTAAAGGCTAGTACTGCATTGGTAGACACTTACTTAGCTTAGGCATAAGGCCTACCTAGCCAATTTATAGTTTAAGTTTTATTAATCTATACAGACTAAATGTATTTTAATTACAGCATTGCATAATAAAACCTACCTTTAAAAAGAGATATGAAATTGCCTCACCTCTTTTGAATTTACTTTCAAAACAACCGCCCCCAAGCTTTTATGATAGCGCCCTCCTACGAATTCAACTTTTGTTTTATTATTTTATATCTATATAACACTTTTACTGTACTATTATTTCATCGCCAATAATAGGTCCTACATTATCTCCATAGATTTTGTCTACATGAATTTTCGAAGTCATTGAATTGTAAGGTAGGCAAAGAACAGTACTCTTTCCATTCTGCGCAGGAAACGATGCATGTTCTCCTATTGTGGGACCTACTTGCATCATAAGTATTTTGCTACCAAAAATAATTTAAATACTTCATAATGCTAATATTGATACATTAAATATTTGTATAATTTCCATAATCATCATTTACACCATTTTTTGCTCTGTTTTTAGGAATAGAACAAACAATCAATGGTTTACCTGATGTAACGTCACAATTTGTTCCCATCCATCCATAATGACAGTAACAGACGTATGCCTCTGCCGCTTCAACACAATTTGCGCCATTTTGACACGGAAAACTTAGACACTCTGCAAGAAAATTAATTAATTAAGTTATTTAGCCTACATGTACTAATACAGACACATTTGCAATGCCATTATATATAATTATGCTCCCTATGTCCTCCCAATGCGTTATTTTACTAAGGATAGCAATATTTGTATATAAGAGACAGTATATAAGTGGGTGGCAATCGATTCAACAGCAAAAGAGTTAAAAGACTATCGAACAGGCAAATTTTTCCCTTCTTTTAGGTAAACGATCTATCTTAAATGTTCTTTGTATTTGAGTTAATTAAATTAGAAGGCAAAGGAGGACAAGCACAAGTTCTCACCCTCAAAAATGCGCCCGAAGAGCGCGAAATTTTCTTTGAGTTTAGGACTTTACGTTATGGCCACTCACACTTTTTTTTTAAATGAATATATGCATTTTCATTATGGCTTTATTTATTACAAACATATTCTTTCACCACCATTACACATTGAGGCCCTTCTTTTTGGTAAAACGATCTATCTTAAAATTTCTTTCTTGAGTTTGGGACTATTATGTTTTAAATAACTTAGACTAACCCTTAAAAGCCCTAAAAAATGCGCAAACATTTTTGTGTTTTTAATTCTAATTTCATCGGAATTGATCAAAACTCCTTAAAATTAAACCTTCAAACAATACTTTCCCTAAAATGTACAATTTTTAGAGGAAATTGGCCTACTGAAACAAGGAATGCGCGCGAAACGCTCGAAATTTGAGATTTTTAGGCACTTTCAGGGGGGTGAAAAGGGCATCTTCAAGGGGTGGGGAAAGATTTTTCACAGATGGAGTTTTCCCCTTGTTCCCCGGTGGTTACGCCACTGCGGAGAATATCTGGAGGCTTAGATCAAAGGAGCTATGGACACTTTTTAAAGTGGAGAAGGGGTTGCAGGGTGTTGTGAGTCTGGTAATTATGATACCTTCCTTTTTATTCTTGTCTTTATTTTTCTCTTCTCCTTTTCTTTTCCTTTTTCTTTATTTTCCTTTTCTCCTTCTTTCTCTTTCCCTCCCTCATCCCTCTTTCTTTTCTCTTATTTACCCAGCCCGGTACGACGGCTTTGTCAGCCCGGTAAAAACCGTCAGGGCTGCACCCCCACCCCCTCCCCCGCCTGTAACGCCACTGGATGCTTGATTCATTCAAAAGGCATGAATCGCCTACGTTGTGACAAATATGCAACTGTAGGGGAAGGGTTGTCTAAAAATGTGATGACGTAAACGTAACCGTATTCGTTATCGTAAGCTTGCGAAAACTCCCTATTATCATTTTTTATAGAATAACAAAGACGCACGCACAAAATGTAGAAGGATGACCCAAGCGGTGATCCAACAAACTCAGCCATTGACCCCGTCTACTTAGACAACCGTAAACATTATAACAATTACATGCAAAATCGTCCGTAATAGTGTACGTGAACGGTAACATAAATGGCGCTTCACTTGTTACGGCCGTATTACCCGAGTACTGTGCAATGGCAACATTGAAGTCTGCTGTACCACCAGCTCCGTATTCATAAAAGTCTTTGTCTTTTTCGGTGTTAAACTGTTCTATCGTAAATACGATCCTTTGGGCTTTAGAGACCCGGATAAGATAGATGCAAGTGCTCCGGTCTCCGTAATCAGCAGGGTAGTTTGGTGAAGATATTTGGCCTGTTGCTGCATAGTGATTTGTGCCACAATTTTGTCCTTTAAAAATGGAATGAATAAAACCTTAAATTTTAGAGCGACTACAAGTGATTTTGAAACTCTAATGCAGAGCGCACCATGTGATGTTTGTAAGGTCTAGACTCGCAAAATAGACTACATATTTAATAAAAACGTTGATGCAAATTCGCAGAAGTGTAAAGCTCTAATTCTGCATATATAGCACCAAGAAATAGCTTGCTAACTAAATTGCTGTGGTCGTACTTCTTTCCATTCCATTGAAACAATACAGCAGTATATTTTTTCTATTAGTAGTGCATATTCATAAGAATTGTGCTATCAAAAATAATTGAAATATTTTATAATCTTTATATTAAAACACATTCTGTTTTTAGGAAAGGATAATAAATCAATGGTTAACCTGATGTGATGTCACAATTTGTTCCCATCCATCCATATTGACAGTAACAGATGTATGCCTGTCTCTTATACACATCTAGATGTGTATAAGAGACAGATATGTAATAATATGTATACTAAGCCTGAAGGTGGCGCTTTACTACGACGGCCATCTTGGATGGTACACATACATAACTCTGCATTGCTGCGCCATCTTGTCAGCACTCTAGTTGTTTAATAGCTCTATGTGGGGAACACATTAGACTTCAAAGGCATCGCGCAAACGTTCTTCACGCGCTGCGGCAGCTTTGTTCTTGGTTCATTTACATAGCTCTGCGTGCGCGTAGCTTTAATACCTCCATGCAAAGAATATAAATAGAACAAGAGAGCAAAGTCCGTTCGCAAAAACGTCAAGCCTGTGTAGGACGCCCACTAACGGTTGTATATTCTTTTTATTACCATAGAGATATAATAAGATAAAGAATACTAGAGCGCTAACAGGTGTATTCGATGTTCGAATTACGCATAGCTGTGTGTGTGTACCATCCAAGATGGCTGCCATAGATTCAGCCAATCAAATTTCCCCTGAGCACTATCATTTTCAATTGCGCCCTCAATTTACACAGAAAGTTCAGTACATAGCATAGAGATATAATAAGAATACTAGAGCGCTAACCGCAATGTATTCGATGTTCGAAATACGCAGAGCTGTGTGTGTGTACCATCCAAGATGGCTGCCATATATTCAGCCAATCAAATTTCGCCTGAGCGCACTATCATTTTCAATGGCGCCCTCAATTTACACAGAAAGTTCAGTACAGCTATGTTTGAAACTCGAGCGTTGCGGTGTTTGGGTGTAATGCACACGATTTTAATTTTCATTCCTTGGTACTTTCTTTTTAATAAGATGCTCCACTTGGCCTCGTTTTGGCTACGACAGTTTAATAATTTGTCATTATCAATACTAATTATCATTAATGAAATAATATTCAGTCAGAGGGCTTATTTATGGTAATAATATGTATACTAAGCTGCATACTAAGCCTGAAGGTGGCGCTTTCCTACGGCAGCCATCTTGGATGGTACACATACACAACTCTGCATTGTTCCGCCATCTTGTCAGCACTCTAGTTGTTTAATAGCTCTATGGTACATAGAGATAATATTAAGAATACTAGAGCGCTAACCGCAATGTATTCGATGTTCGAAATACACAGAACTATGTGTGTGTACCATCCAAGATGGCTGCCATAGATTTAGCCAACAAAGATCTTATAAACACAAGATAGCGTTCTCCGGGATTTACGCGTGCAAATTCTGTAATAAGGCATGAATGGCGCCCTCTTGCTAAATTGGAAACTTTTGACCCTTGACCGCTCTGATCTGACTTTTCCGTACGAAACATTTACATGAAACTCCACTCGGGCCGTCTCGGCTGAATCGACCCGAAAATCTCATTGCAGATAGGACGCCCTCTTCCAAAACTTATTACTTTTTCTCTTCGGTAATAGCGCATGAATGGCGCCCTCTTGCTAAATGGGAAACTTTTGAACCTTGACCGACGCTTCTATTTGTTACACGTAAATCGCGCGGAGAACGCTATCTTGTGTTTATAAGATCTTTGTTAGCCAATCAAATTTCGCTAAGCGCCCTCGTTTGCAAATGCGCCCTCAATTTACTCAGAAAGTTCAGTACAGCCAGTTACCTGTATGTTTGAAACTCGAGCGTTGCGGTGTTTAAGTGTAATGTATACGATTTTAATTTTCATTCCTTGGTACTTTTATTTTTGAATAAGATGCTTCACTTGGCCTCGTTTTGGCTACAATAGTTTAATATTTTGTTATTACCATTACTCATTATCATTAATGAAATAATAGTCAGTCAGAGGGCTTATTAATATGTAATAATATGTATATACTAAGCCTGAAGGTGGCGCTTTACTACGACGGCCATCTTGGATGGTACACATACATAACCATAGAGCTATTAAACAACTAGAGTGCTGACAAGATGGCGCAGCAATGCAGAGTTATGTATGTGTACCATCCAAGATATTTCACTTTGTATTTATGTACATAAAAAATTTATTTGCATACGTATTCTTCTTTTCATGAACATGATGAACCCCCCAAAGAAAAAAGGAGGGTCCGGGGGTCCTCCGACGGGAAAATTTTGAAAAATTCGATCCCTAGATGACAGGAAATTAGCTCCCGACTACTGAGCTGTCTTTTAAAGACTTTAAATTCTTGAAATTTTAAGGATTTCGCCTCCAGCGAGGACAGGACTAGACAGGATTGAGTATGTAGCGTCTCTACTGTTTGTATTTAAACCGCAATATTGAATTTGAATAATTTTTTATATTTCACTTGTAAACCTTATATTCAGCATAAGGTCAACTAAGGACAGCAACCTGTTCCTTATGGTACAATAACTTAGACGACAAAAGTCAGGAATGTACCATGGCTAACTTATCCCACTTTTATTAACTAAAACAATATATAAAAACACTTGGCTATTGATGAAATGGGTCTAAATTATGCCAAAAAGCAAATCCTAGGTCTGATCATGATGCTTAATTGTTTTTTCCAAAAGTTTTGTCCACAGCCCAGCGCGAAATTCAATAGGTTACAAATATGTACTCACTATGAATATAAGTTATATATGCAAAATCTGGCAAAAAAGACAGGAAATCACAATTCAGACAGAACACTCGCGAAACAACATAGCGCTAGGCCTAGGCTAGGCCTGTGTCACACAGAAAGAATTTCAAAGATTCCTTCGTGATTTGAGCCTTTAACAAAAAGAGGGGCGTGCCGGACAGAACTTTTGTCCAATCAAACTCATTTTTAGATATTTCGAAGCCAATAAAATTACGAATCGATTGATAGGTAAAATAACAAGCTATGAAAATACAGTAACTCAAATAATGTATTATAGAGGACGCTACATATCTCAAAACAGGCGTAAAATCACTTCGTTCACGCTGATTGACCGGTGCCAATTCATCCGAATACTAACTGTACTCAAGATTACATAATCATGTAGGTATTAAAATACCAATATTTTGTTGGGTTATATAACTTTATTTGGATATATATGAGAAATTTTAGATCCAAAAAACCCGTAAAAAACAGTTAATTTCCATCGTTTTCACGTTATTAGACGCGATCGTCCCGTTTCCAAAACAAATCGTATTGTTGGTTTTTTTTTTTGGGTTTTTTTCTTATCCTTTTTATCCTTATTTATACCTCTTCTTTACTTTTTTCTATATTTTTAAAAATATTATCTTAACTTTATCATTCCCACTAGCGCCACCCCCGATTTGGATTGAGTCAAGGACTCTTTCAGCAAGGTCGTCGGGGAAAAATCAAATCACGGGCGCCTAATAAGTTGTCAATTTTTATGGATTAAAAACTGTTGGTGCGAGCACTGCTACCGTACCGTATTGCGATCGTATGGGTTGCAGTGGTGTGCTAGCTCTTCCGCAACAGGGGGTAGTAGGCTACCTCCGACTAGGAGTTAGTACCCCAGACAAGTGACTTAATTTTTGAATAAGAATCACATAATTAACACAAAATATTATACAGTGTAACCTTTTAATAAGCCGACAAGGCTTCCCCGACGGGAGGGGGCGTGGACTCCTTGTCGGCCGGGAGCTTGGCCTCCTCAGTCGAACAATTCCTTGCGCCGCCTCTACATAATTACCGAAGCAAGAACACTTTTGTCGAATTTACGTTTGATTATCTGCCAGATTCCTCCTTTTCACGTTTCATTATAATAATCATAATATTTGTTACAGCTTCTCGTTTGTTTCGGGGATTTACCTATACGTCGTAAACACACATAAGGGATATTCAGTAGCGTATCTAGCAGCTGTCTCTTATACACATCTTTACCTGTATGTTTGAAACTCGAGCGTTGCGGTGTTTGGGGGGCGTCTCCCGGAAATCGGCACTCTATCAGCAAGAATCTCCTAGAAATTAATCCATCTCCGCAAATTCATAAAATAAAATTTTACTGCCTTATTATCAATCTTCTCACGGAAGTCAGTGCTTATGTGTATCGTTGTGTAGTTAAAAAAAATCAAATGTGTTAAGAAAGCCCATTAACCAGATCAGTAGTGGATTCAAGGAAGGGGAAAGTATGCCCGGACCCTTAAATATTTCAAAATTATGATAAAATGGGGTACAAAAGAAACTTATATTCACATTTAAGTCGAGAGGTGCTAGAATAAAAAATTGTCTACCCCAGCTCCAACAATGGTGTGACTGGTGTGGTCTAGACCCTCCAGTGGCGGAACAGGCGGGGGAAAGGGGAGGCAGACTGCCCCCCCCCCCGACGGTTTTTACCGGGCTGACCAAGCCGTCGTACCGGGCTGGGTAAGAAGAGAAAAGAAAGAGGGGAGAGGGAGGGAAAGAGAAAGAGGGGAAACAAAGAAAGGAAAAAGGAGAAAAAGAGAAGAGAAAAATAAAGACAAGAATAAAAAGGAAGATATAATGAACAGATATCACAATACCCTGGCCTGCAACCCCTTCTCCACTTTAAGAAGTGTCCATAGCGCATTTGATCTAAGCCGCCAGATATTCTCCGCAGTGGTGTAACCACCGGGGACAAGGGGAAATATTCATCTGTGGAAAATCTTTCCCCATTGAAAATGCCCTTTTCACCCTGGAAAGTGCCTGAAAATCTCAAATTTTAAATCGCATATTTTGTTGAAGTAGGCCAATTTCCTCTAAAAATTGCACATTTTAGGGAGTTTTGATCAATTCCGACGAAATTAAAATTAAAAACATAATTTGTTTGCGCGCCTAGCGCGCATTTTTTAAGGTAAAAGCTTGTGCTTGCCTTATAACACATAATCCCAAACTCAAGAAAGAAAATAGATCGTTTTACCTAATGTTATATATAGTATTAAGATAACTTACGAATATAGGCCAAATCAATAAAACCATTGGACTGAACTTTTACCTCACTACCCCATTACCTCACTAATTCAGTGGGCATCTGTTAAACGTCTGCCTAATTATTATATATGATGTCTTTGACAGGACAATAGCCAATTCATGACAAAAAGCCCAAGTGGTCAACTCCTTACATTTGATTTATAAAATAAGCTCAATTGAGAGACAGCTCGTTACTAAATATAAGTTAAGTTCTACCCCTAAAGTTGTTATATTATCTGTCCAATAGAAACTCCCCAAAATGATGTAATAGTCAAATGATTAGGATAAGGTGATATCTTTCAACCAATCAGAGAAAGTCCACCACACCCCAAGCTTGTATGAAAAGTAAAGTATTAGTTATCTAGAGAAGACTTCCTTCTGATACCTTGAAGGAAACACTACGTCACACAACCCTACTTGTATATATTGTGTAATGATGGTGAAAGAATATGTTTGTAATAAATAAAACCATGATGAAAATGTTTATATTTAGTTTCAAACACACGTCTGTGGCCTATATTATAAATAAAATAAGCCATATGTCGTATTGTTTTCTATATGGGGGGGGGGGATGATAAATGGATAAGTTTGACTTCTAAAACCGCCAACTTTGGTTCTGCTGTCTCTTATACACATCTAGATGTGTATAAGAGACAGCTGTGAAAGTCTGTACCCCACCCCCTAACCATTCGACCCACCACCGCAGATATCGGAAATGACTTCTTCACACTTGGGATCCCTGGCATAACGTTGGAGGGTGGGGTTAAGGGGCTTACGACAAACCGTACAAACAAATTGATATTCGTAGATGTATTTAGAATGTTCTCTCAAGAGTAACGGAGATCATACAAGCCAAAGAGTCCACTTTCCATTGAAACGAACCTTCCACAATAGTTATACGGGCCCGGTGCTGGAGTATTATCTAACTGTTACAAGTTGTATGTATGCCATACGTATTTGTTTATGAATCCTTTGAGTGACGTATGTAAATTTTCTGAGAACATTAACTATATTCTGATTCCGATTGAAGAGCTACGACAACTTACCTCCCACAGCTTCAGTCTGCAATATCAGGACATCGATAATCAGGACTATAAAAAGTTTCATTCTAGCTTCGAATCTCAAAATTCTGACAAGACATGAAAGACCGAAATAACATTCTCTTACTGTATTATTAACAGTTCAGTACAAAATCACTTTGCACCCAAGTGATATTTAATCCACTGTCACTCCTAAGCTATAGTTACTGGCAAGTCCTTAATTCGTTCACAACGTTTTTGAACAGTCCATTAAATAATGCTTGTATTTTATAACGAGGCAAATTGCACCACGAACTCAACTTAAACTCAATTTATTGAGAAAGGAAAATAGAAGATAACTGTTTGTGCTTGTCAATTTACAACAGTTGTTATACGTCTACTATTTATTAAATCCATTATCAAATCTCTATTTTTCTTCTACACAACACAGTTAAAATGGTATCGCCCTATGCATCTGACCCTTTCGTAAACCGCTGTACCAGCCCTGAGCCCGCCATGCCAAAAATCATGTAGTTTCTATGCATGCGCTTGAAATTTACGTCGTAAACGTTATGACCGATTGTGAAAAGAAACTCCATGCATGTTCTGATCGCACACAAACTAATTTTCGAGTCTTAATGACTGTAGTTGTTTTTTTCTTCACTATGACAAAGCAAATCCCAAATAATACATAAGGTACTTTTTAAACGTCAATTTACCACAAATGAAAACTTCCGTAAATGCTAGAATTCCATCAGTACTTTATTCTGTCCAGTATACATGCATACAAATACATACACATGAAAAATCCATAAGACGTTGCAGTGTTAAAATTATAAGCTCCGCTCTCGAATACGCGCCGCACCACCGTGATTATTTCTGAATGAGTACCGCTCTCGAATAAGCGTCGCGGCGCTTAATTGAGAATATTATCCTGTGTGAGAAACAGGTTTTTAAATGTATGTAACAATGTATACGGTGTTAAAATGAATAAATAAAACAATGAAGGCCTACCGAACTACAGGAATCCGTGAAATGATAATAAAGGGCATGGGAAGCGTCACGTCAATATTTTTCATAAGTGCCGCTCTCGAATAAGCGCCGCACTGAAGCCTCCAAAAATGTTTTAATGCGCCGCGGCGGTAAATGAAAAGTCCCAAAACCTTGCCTTGCACTAGTTGCATGAGAACATCCAAAAATGGCAGCGCTGTTCCAAATTTCACGATTAATAATATAACACATTACATAGGGCCTAGACTAAGCATCTTACTTTAATTACATCAGGGGCGCCTATGACCACAAAATTTGCCATGCTATTTAAAAACTTTTTAAATTGAATTTAAGTGTTCTATCTAAATCTAAATATATTAAGTTACTCTTCAACGCCTGTTCAGCATCTGGATGAGTTCATGCGTAGTGTCCTAAGATCGTACCCAAGTGCTCTTGTTATCTCAATAATGCTGTGTATTATTATTTTTGCTATTGTTTAAGGTTTTAAGTTAATTTTACGATTAGTTCAGGTTATTAGTTTATAGTAAGTGGGCTTGAAGTTAAGTAGACTCTCTATTATTTCAATTTCGACTCACACAGTGATTCTTATGCCTATTTATGTTTTCTTTATCTTTTCTTTACTTACCACCTTCATTTTCTCTTTCTTGTGTTTTTCACATTTTTTTTTCATTTTCCTTTCTTCATTTCCTTGTTCTTTTTCATTTACCTTTCTTATGTCTCACATTTCCTTCCTTTTCCTTTATGTTCATTTTCATTTCTTATATCCCTTATCATTTCTTTATTCTTCTTAAGTTTCCTTATCATTTCTTTCCTTTCATATCTTTTCTTTTCCTTTCTTATGTTCCTTATCATTTTTTTTTAATTTTCCTTTCATATGTTCCTAATAATTTCTTTCATTTTCCTTTCTTAAGTTTCCTTACCATTTCTTTCCCATTCCTTTCTTCATTTCCTTATCATTTCTTTTCATTTCACTGCTTATATTCCTTATCTTTTTTCCTTTTCCTTTGTTTAATGCCTTAAATTTACCTTTTTCCCCCTTTCATTTATTGCCTTATCCTTCTTTCCTTTTTCTTTCTTATGTTTCTAATCATTTCTTTCCTTTTCATTTTGTATGTTTCCTTATTATTACTTTCCTGTTCCTTTCTTCATTTCCTTATCATTACGTTCCTTTTCACAAACTCGATCGCGTACGACAACGCAAAATTCCAGCGCATGCGTAGAAACTACATAATTGTGGCTCAGGGTTGGCACGGCGGGTTTACGAAAGGGCCAAATGCATCGCCTATCATAACGGCTTATCTGTGGGAAAACCACTCAATAAAAATGGATATCTCCCAATATCCAATACACAATTATTTAGTATATTTATATTTATAACAGTGGCACACACAAAAAAAAAAAAACCAAAAAAGAAAAAAAACCCCCAAAACAATGTAATCATAATCAACGAAAATGTAAATCTTTTAAACTAACATTAGATAGATTTGAGTATTGCTCATACCAAGAGACTATTTGTCATTATACTATTTATAGTTTACATCATATGATTCCTTATTTTATTCTACATCTTTTATGAGCATAATCTATAGCAAATGTAATTTCTTTTTTGATGTATATATATATATATACATGTATATATATATATATATATATATATATATATATATGTATATATATGTACAAAATTATAGTGAAACATATTATTCTCCTGAAGACGATTCGAATTGAAGCACCTCAATCGAAACGTCGAGACTTTCTCAACTACAACAGTTCTTTTCAGAACTACTTACGTGGTGTACTGCAAGCTTCAACATATATATTATTTCTTCGCCATGCAAACCTTTAAGCAATACATATTCAATTAAGTATAAATTGTAGCGCCTATTCACGGCAGAATTACAATGGTCAGTGGCACTATGACAATGGTATTACTAAATGTACCATTAACTCCTATGGTTATACCTCCGTGGGTTAATTAACAATATTATAATTATATTATTGCATGATTACTAAAAAGTTATATAAATTAAGTTATAGTGAAACGTTTACTAAACGTTTCATTATAAATGTGTGTGGATCATTAAAAAAATATATATCATATTTGAATATATTATTGGATCTAGATGATTTTTCTCTGTCAATATACAGTAAGATTGTCTTGTTACTTGATATTTAAAAGCTACACTTTCTGTCACTTTCTTCCCAGTGAATCTGAACCAAGTTTATTCTGTTGTAGTTTTAGAAACAAAAATCTGCTAGACCAATCACATTTATTTTTGGATAAATTTTACAAAAACAAAGAAATCATTAGAATGTAGTTTTCCAGAGCCACTGATTTTGTCTTGCATTACAGCAAAAAGACATTCTGTAGCAACAATTCTACAATTTCCCTAATCAGGACCAATCTAAAGAAAATGGTGAGACAAATAAAATATTTTTGCTATGTATGAATTGCTTTAATAGACAAATTCAAACCTAGCATTAGCATTTATTCGTACAAATAGCTGGTATTATAAGAGCTTGGGAAAAAAACATAAACTCGGATTTACAATGAAATTTAACAGAAGAATAAACAATTTCCAATGCCGAACGTCATAATTACTAGACCATGAACGCTTTGTAGAAGCTATTGATAATGCATCCCATTTGATTATTTGTTAGATTATTCCTTTTCACGTTTCATTAATAACAATATAATAGGCCTAGTTATTTACTGCATGTTCTGGCTATATAATTATCATTGGATAACTAAATGCTGTGAGAAAATCTGAGGTCGAGGAGTAGCATTTTAGGTATTTATGTGTCCAAAACAGATGACATATTTCATCACTACTATATTTGGCCGGAGATTAATACCCTCCCCTCCCCCACTCCCCCTGGCGCCACCGCATTTAGCCCTTCTTTTCTAACTCGCTGTGCCAACCCTGAGCCGCCGTGCACCAAATTATGTACGGTGAGTTTCTATGCATGCGCTAGAATTTTGTTCGAGATTGCGAAAAGAAACTCAATCTACGATCTATTTCCTCCAGAAGTGTACTGATCACACACAAATTAATGTTCAAGTCTCAATGGATGTAGTGAATCTTTTTCTTCAGTATGACCAGGGAACAGTGAAATTTTTCACTGTTCCCTGGTATGACCAACAACCCTCTGGCTATTAAGATATTTTAAAACAATAATTTACTACTTATGTAAACTAAATTAAACTGTCTTATAACTTTGTCTTGCACTAGTTTCATGAGAGAATCCAAAAATATAACATTACAGTGACGCATCTCAAGGGTGACGCGATCTAGTCATTGCCAATTAAATAATAATTATAATTGGTTGTTATCAATGATGCATGCTGCTATTATTACTGTCGTTATTATCATAGCCTATCTTATCATAACCTATCATAGCCTGGCCTGGCCTCCTAGTCAAGCCAAGCCTAGCCTGGTTTTGATAGAGCCGATGCTCTTCTACTGAATGGCATATAATACTGTACACATTAATATTTATAATAATATGCAATGCATCTTACCTATGGTGGCGGAAGTGGGGAGAGGGTCAGGGACCCACTTTTTCTACTGGGGGGGGGGGGGCTGCCACCCCCATCCCTACTTTTGTGAGTGTTCCCAGCACCGGTGACAAACATTTTACGAACGCTGCATTGTTGTTGTTGTTGTTGTTGTTGTTGTTGTTGTTGTTGTTGTTGTTGTTGTTGTTATTATTATTATTATTATTATTATTATTATTATTATTATTATTATTATTATTATTATTATTATTATTATTATTATTTTTATTATTATTATTATTATTATTATTATTATTGTTATTGTTATTATTATTATTATTATTATTATTATTATTATTATTATTATTATTATTTGATGCTTACAGCTTGTTTATTTGCGCCTTATAAACTGACCTATTATTATTATTATAAAATAGTTTTTTTTTTCATTTTCTAACGAACATTACAAGATCCCATTTTGAGTTGAGCAACCAAATTTTGCCTGACGTCAGTATACGTGCGTCTGTAAAATTTCCTTGAAACCTACCCTCCAGCATGAAGAAAAAATCGCCTGCATTTGTGAATTTTGTATTTAGGCATATGGGGGGAGGTAGGCACTCTAAATGGAGCGACGTTCTAGTTCCCTTTATGCTAACCAGGAAGATGTATAGTAAGTGAAACTGACTGGCTTACTGTAACCTTCAAACCAGAGATGACGGAACTAGGGGTGCTGTGTTATGGAGAGTAATGTGTGACCGGAAATGGTCTGCATCAGTTGGTTGTTACCATGAGCCAGTGATGTTGGAGTATATAATACAGCAAGATGAAACTATTATGTAGGCCAAATGAATAAAGTTCGGAGTTCGTCGGGTAGTGAAATGATTATTGTACATTTTAAGCGCTAGCTAAATTCATAAGTGTAAGCTAAATTACGGTGATTAATTTAATTAGCGAAAATATGGAGACAATTATTTCGAAGTTCCCTCTTTCCAAGAGGGGATGCAAATGCTTTGTGAAAATGAGTACGCCGCGGTACTCATTTTCACAAAGAAATACACACAACTGGTTAGCTAACAATATGCCAATACATGAACACCTGGGAAGGAAAGTTCAATCACGTTGTTGCCCAGCAAACGTCTGTACTGTATGGGGGGGGGGCGCTACTGATGTACTGTTCTACCACATTCTGTGTCCAGATGGGAATGGGTGGTGGCAGGTTTGCCAGCTTCTACTTCCAGGCATCCAGAAGTACTATATTTCCAACATAGACTCTATCTCCATGCTAACTATATTTCTTATGGTTGCCCCTTGAGGGAAGGTGCTACCGGCCCCACAAGCTGTCAGCATCTATTTCTGGGCATTCAGAGCTGCAAAAAATGTTGTAAAAAAGAAATGCATGTAAAAGGCAACCCCGCCCCCCCCCCCTTGTTTTTCGTTCGTAATTTGTCTTATAGGGGAGAGAATATAAGGTATACTTAAATTATTGATCTTCATTATGAGCCGCAGCTCCATGAATGCACTAGTTAACAGATGGAAGTAATACTTGGTACTCTGTATTACTTGGTACATTTGGTGTTGTTTAAACGCCGATACTACTATTAATTAAATCATCTTTACTTTGTGATTACATAGATCATGCGACGACACTTGTTAACAGGTTTAATAAATAATAACAAATACTAACGATGAGAGTGCTTACAGACAAGAAGTTGATAATTTATAAACTTGGTGATAACAATACCTTGATTATAAATCTAAGTGAAACAAAGAAAATTTGATTTCAGGAAAAAATAGTGCCCAACACTGACATTTAAAAATATTAATGTTTTTGATTTGATAAATGAAAAACAGTCTTGTTCTAAGATATTTGAACAGGTTGTACAAAAAAGGTAAGTAATTACTCTACTAAAAAAAAAAATAAAAAAAAAAATTAAGACGTTTCAATGTCAGCCGATAATTCAGTCGATTATGTCATTCCGCCTAATAATATGCAGATAATATGCTTTGATGTTCCAGAAATCGAAAATATTTATATATTTATACAGTGAATCTAAATGTATATTAGATAAACACACACACACACACTCTAAATAAATGTAATAACTTAAGTAAGCCAGGTAGTATGAACTCGTTAATGGGAAACTTTCGTCATAGCAACACATTTTCCTCCGTCTTCAATCCGAATATATTTACAATCAACATGTGTACAACTGCAATAGTAAGATTCTAATGTTTACATGTAATGTACTTTATATTGTATATTTTTATAGGAACTAATTCAATTTCATTTTAAGTGTAACATGTAATTTAGCATCATTTTATATTATGTGTATTTATTTTAGATTTGTATCTTAGAAACTTGAAGGAAGATTTTTATGTGAATTTTTTTTACATGACAGTAAACAGACTGAACTTGAACATGCTACAGCAGACTCATCAATACAATGGGGTAGAATAATACTCGGTGTTATCTGGTGTATTCGTCGTTATTTGTACTTCATAATAAACTGAATTAGCCACATCACTATTAATGGCATAATCAGTCATAGTCGTATCTGTATCCATTCTCCTGTGTTTTTTCGAATAGTGCCTAATAGTTATTTAAGAAAAAAAAAACATGTCATTATTTTTATCAAGTACAGTTCGCCCTGCAATTCGAGACATTTGGGTTCTCGGGCCTTGGTTTTAGAGGGTTAGCTTTGTGTCAAAAAAATTAAAGGTTGTTATGTTGTAAAGTGCTCTCGAATTAGAGAGGTCTTGGGATTAGAGAGATCCTCGATTGAGGATGCACTGTACTGCACAGTAAAATGCAATTTCAACATAGAGAAGGTGAGACTGACATTCCTAATACCAAAGATACTAGAAACACAAGATACAAGTGTTTATAAGATCTTTGATGGCTCTGTACTTACCAACAGAAGGGCGCCCTGTACGTCGGGCCCGAAGTATAGAAAATTTCATAGGGCTATTAAACAACTACAGTGCTGACAAGATGGCGCAGCAATGCAGAGTTATGTATGTGTACCATCCAAGATGGCCGTCGTAGTAAAGCGCCACCTTCAGGCTTAGTATACATATTATTACATATTAATAAGCCCTCTGACTGACTATCATTTCATTAATGATAATGAGTAATGGTAATAACAAATTACCGTATTAAACTATTGTAGCCAAAACGAGGCCAAGTGGAGCATCTTATTCAAAAATAAAGTACCAAGGAATGAAAATTAAAATCGTGTACATTACACCCAAACACCGCAACGCTCGAGTTTCAAACATACGGGTAACTAGCTGTACTGAACTTTCTGAGTAAATTGAGGGCGCAATTGCAAACGATGGTGCTTAGCGAAATTTGATTGGCTTAATCCATTAATCTATGGCAGCCATCTTGGATGGTACACACACACAGTTCTGCGTATTTCGAACATCGAATACATTGCGGTTAGCGCTCTAGTATTCTTATTATATCTCTATGGAAAATTTGCATTATAAAAAAGAAGGGCGCCGCCTACGTCGGGCAACAATTTCCGCCTCATTTTTACTATGCGAGTTCTCTATCTTGTATTTCTAGTATCTTTGCTAATAATACCATCAAAAATAAAATATATGCCTAACAACAAATAAAAGAAATGTAGCTAAGTATGATTACAAAACATACCTGTACATGAAGACAAAAAATGTACACATCACCACCAGTATTACGATACAGACTATGTACACTGCCATCAGGTAGTTAGGTGCAGTTGATGTATAACCTTCAACGAATACACAATATATTTATTTATCATTATTAAACGTATTTAAACAAAAACAAGTATTGACATGTAGAATGGTACAATTGAGATCGAATGACTAGTGCTTCCTTTTTGCATGGATCTACAATGACCTACAAGAAATTGTCACGTAACGTCTGTACATTTAGAAAAAAAAAAGTTTGCAAGGGCCTACTGGTTGAAGTTAAGGTTAATTTCGAACCGAAATATATCTTCAATATTATTAATATTATTTTTTTAACTGTTAGTGTTGTGATAAAATGTTCGTGGAAAGTTTGTATGTGTTCTGATGTTATTTTTATTGACGAATTTTATTGGAAAAGTTAAAATGTGCTCTGCTCTTTATCGATGCACTTCTTGCCATTCTGACATGGATTACTCATGCAGCCTGAAAACAATAATTTAATTTCAATTTCAATTTATTTTAGAAAACCTCCGAAACAGAGAGATAAAATACATTCCAAAACATCACAAAATCAAACAAAAACACATCAAAATGCAAATCAAACAATCAAATTATATAAAAATTCCAATGAGGTAAGTGGTAAAACTAAAAGTTAACTCATAAGAGTTGTGATACAAGGTCTCTGCCGTTACTTTCTAAAAACGGATACTTCTGAAATAATTGTCTTAACACTATCAGTTAATCCGTCTTCATTAAAATTGTACTTCACATCATATTTAAGTTTTTTTGTGGTAACAACTGTCAAATAACATTTTAAATAACAACATATTATTAGAAAGAGTGATTTTCTTTATTCTATCAACCAGTGTATTGCGAACTGATACACTTTGAGAGGCCTTATAGTTTAGTAAGTGAGAATAAAACTTTCGCTATTTAAAATCAAACCTAAAACATTTTTATTTACACAGGCCTTTTCAGCCAATTACATGGATATTATTAGTATTACTGAATATTATCAGTATTTTTAAAAAAACTTTTAGTGTTGTGATAAAATGTTCGTGAAATGTTTGTATGTGTTCTGATGTTTATTTTTATTGACGAATTCTACTGGAAAATTTAAAATATGCTTTTCTATGACTTTTAACTATTTTAATTTTAAAAGGTGTATTGATTGTAGTTTTTGGCATATTTTAATGATTTCTTTGTGATGCGCCTCTGAACAATTTTTATTGGAAGAGGGGCAATATAAATAAAATATATTATTATAATATAATATTATTATATTATTATTATTATTATTATGATAATAATGATAATGATAATAATATTAATAATAATAATTAATAAGTTATGTTTTAACTTTACCGATATACGTCTGACACGTGGCTCCAGAATAATCTTCAGGGCATGTGCAAACAAAACTTTCCTTTTCGGGATCCTTAGAACAATTTCCACCATTCATACAAGGAAGCGCTAAGCAGGCTGTAAATCAAACGAGGAAAACGAAAAACAATGATTGTTTGAAACTTTCAAACTATACATAAGAGAAAAAATGAAACGAAAACGGTGAGAACGGAAGAAGCCTATATTTGTGGCGATATTATTCTGTCAAATATCTTTTAGAATCTGTAAACCAGCATGCTACGAGACAAAATGCAATCACTATTATAATTCATGGTGGAATTGAATGGATATGAGCTAAGCTGTGGTCAAATATCTGATTATATAATACCTGCGTATATTTCACAATGGATTCCTGTGAAACCATTTTCACATTCACAAGAATAGCTCTGCTCTTTATCGATGCACTTCCCGCCATTCTGACATGGATTACTCATGCAGCCTGAAAACAATAATGTTTAATATGTTGGTTCACATTGTTAGATATACATATAAAATGGGTCCTAATATTTTTAATGGTCCACATTATTCAAGTTATAGGCCTACGCATGAAATTGGTTACAATTTTAAAGATGGTTCGTCGGTACGATCTACAATATGACGTAATTACACACGCATGCGTAAAGAGAAAAACAGCCTGGATGAATGACATGATTCTTCCATTGGAATAGATGTATAGGCCTATAATGAAGAGACGTCCATTGTCCATATTAGACTAGGAAAAAAAAATCAAAAAAGAGGCCTAGAAATCAAGTTAGGGGGAGTGGAATGTTAGAAGCAGTCAATATAGCCAGATATCCTAATTAATCCGTCCTGGTCACCCTAAGCCCTGTTGACACTTGATTCTTCACCTGGTATACAAATGGCGGCCATTTTCCAAATTTATCTAAAATGTGCATATAATTGGAACTAAATAAGCTACAGATATGATGTTGGTGTCTAAAATCATAATTTCTATACAGGCAACAAACCAAACATATTATAAAAACTACTGTCACTCATGCCAGAATGGAACATAATTAAAAAATAGGTGTTTATTTGTTTTAAAATATCCGCAAAATATACTTAAAATGTGTATAAAATAAGAATAAGTATATAAACTCACCAAAAAGTAGTCGTGTTTGGTATCGTTGGAAAGCTCTTCCGATGCTGAATAATGTATTGCAGTTTATATATCAGAAACGGTGTAGTAGTGTTTCATGTATTGTCCCATCAGTCCAATTATGGCATATCATATTAAAATAAACAGGACCCATTTGCGTAACTCGTGAACTCTCGGATGGCGGGGGAGGGGGGTGCACTCCTACTACTACCTAACACATTACTACCAAGCCTTAAGTAACGCATGTGCTTTCTGAGCGAAGTCCGAGTCCAAATGGGCCCTGGAGAGGGCCCTGGAGAGGGTTAGATACTTTTACTTACAGTAACACTGATACTCAGCACTCTCCTACAACGCCTTAACAATACGTAACAT